GAACCCGCAGGCTCAGGCAATCCACTCACTTCGGCCTCCCAAAGTGCTGGGATTACAGGCTGAGCCACCGAGCCCGGCCTCCTAACTCTTAATCGAGTCAGTTTCCTACCTTCTAAATCAGTTAAGATTATGGTTGGCCAGGCTCAGTGGCTCAGCCTATAATCCCAGCACTTTGGGAGGCTGAGGCGAGTGGATTGCCCGAGCCCATGGGTTCGAGACCAGCTGGGACAACTTGGTGAGACCTTGTCTCTACAATAAAATAAAAAACAATAGCCAGGCGTGGTGGCGCGTGTCTGTAGTTCTGGCTACTTGGAAGGCTGAGGAGGAAGGATCACTGGAGCGCAGCAGGTTGATGCTGGGGTGTCTATGAGCTTGCCACTGCACTCCAGCCTGGGCGATGGAGTGAGACTCCAACTCAAAAAAAAAATGATTATGGTCATCTGGGTATTAGATAATCCCACTAAATTATTTTTAGTTTTGTTCACTGTGATGATGGCATTATAGTTATGTAAAAAATGTCCATTTTTTTAAGTAATCATACTAAAGTATGTTTGGGGAAAATGATAGGCAATCTAGGATTTCATTTTGAAAAATTAAGCAGTAAGAATAACAAAATGGAGTACATGTGGCAGAATCTTCAGAGTTGAATCTGCGCTATGTGGAAGTTCATTTGTCATGGTTACTCTACTTTTATATATGTTTGAAATTTTTTATGGTAAAATACACACACACAGAAAAGACAATATTTTAAATGTAGCATGATACGTTTGGGAAAAAAACTGAAATTGCATCCCAAAGACCTAAAAATTTTTGTACTGTGATAATATTGCAGGTGATGGTTGGATTCATAATATCACAACAAATTGTTGGAAACAACTTGCACATTTACCTAAAACAAGACCTAGGTAAGTCTAAAAGTTGACAAATAATAAAATAGTTAAGAATTTTTAAGTATTTAATTTTAGTACTGAATTTATAGTGTTTGCCATTGAAACCATAAGTCATCAGGAAGGATATCTTTCACATAAGCCTGATTTATCAAAATTATTTAATTATCATTTTAACTATATCTAATTGTTAGAAATGATCTGTCCCATTTTCACCCATATTTGCATATTTGAAAATATTCCTTTAGATAAATGTATAATGTTACCTGAGAACTATGAAGACTAGAATAATTAAAAGCATCATAGGATGTTACTATCCTTAAGAATTAGAAAAGAATAAAGTTAGCTTTAATAGTAGTTATTTATTTTGGAAGAGATTTAAAGCAATTTAATGAGAAAATTTTGCTTTCATGTTAATACAGTAGATGACAAATTATTATTTTTCTTTATTCGTGAGAGGATGTATTTATTAATGTGAATTTTTTGAAAAAGAAAATGTGTTAGTTACTTATGATATATTATAGAATTAAAAATTGTACAAACAAGGTACTATTATTAGGCTACAAACAAAACCACATTAGTATAATTCTTATTTTTTAAAATTTGATTGAATGGCATAATAAAAATATCTTCATAGGAAATTCATATTCAGCACATTATAATTATCATACTCAGTAATAGATCTTAATTCTTTTTCATGCCACGCATTTCAGAATTTTTTTACTACAGATTATTTATGCTAGTGTGAAGTCAATTTAATGATATATACTTTTGTTATTTAATAAATAACAAATAACTTACTTGAGAAAAAACCTGAAAATATTTACATGTATTTCGGTATTTATATTATACTAATAGTCATAATACATTTAGAGTTTATCATAACTACACATGTGATTTCCTGTATTTTCATGTATAAGATTCTTTGAAATGTATTATTTTAACAATTCTGGCTCTTTTGAAATGTACATTTTTTTAATTTAAAGAGTTTTATATTAAGATATGGGAGCCCAGAGTTCTAGTCCTTGCTCAGCTTCTACTTAGCTTTTTGGCTTTGAAAGTCACTTAAAGAAACTGAGCATCAATTTCCTCATCTGGAAATGGGAGAGTTGGACTAGATAATCTTTTAGTTTATTCCAGTTGTTTGATTGTATAAATGCATTAATTGTTGACCAAAGTGGTAGTTAATGTTTAATTTTTAAATTGTTCCTAATTTATATTTCAATCCTTAATGAGTAATTAGAGCAACACAACTATTGTCAATAATATACTAGTTAGAACTAGAGCTATGTAAAGAGATTTCTTTTAATTCAGCTGTGTCATGTATATAATATGCTTTATTAGGTTTAGGTAATAAGTTTAGAGCAGCTGTGAAAGGACATAAACTGTCAGTCTGTAGAAAGAACATCAGGTTGCAAGCTAGATGTCATCAAAATCAAGGCAGGAAAGGCTTTCCAGTGTTCTTCGATGATGAAATCCAGGCCAGAGTTTCCCTAAGGCAGATAAGACTGAGGCAGATCTATCTTCAGGTATGAGGTGAGGAGAGAACAGGTGGGATACAGTTGAGTGTAAGGAGAACATATATATGTGTGCATATATACTGATTTTAATGTGACAATTTAGTTAACTTCTGTAATCTGACAATTTAGTTAACTGGGAAAGGTTGCATTTTGTGCAACCTTTCCCAGTTATAATTTGAAATGTAAGCTGCCCAATTCTCCTCTCAAAATTCTGCAGCAGGACTTCTCAACCTTGGCATTACTGACATTTTAGACCAAATGATTCTTCATCATAAGGTGTATTATGCATTGTCGTATGTTTAGTAGCATCCCTGGTCTTTACACAACAGATTTCAGTAGTGCTACCTTTTCACTCCCTGAGTTGTAAAAATATCTCCATATACTGTCAAATGTCTTCTTGGGGGACAAATCGCCTATGGTTGAGAACCACTGTTCTGCAGTGTAGCACTTTGCTTCTTTAGGTCTCGCCTTTGTTTAAAAAACAAAAACAAAAACTATGTTGAAAAGCCATCTAAAAACCACATCTGATAAACTGTATAGGGGGCTGTCAGCAAGGACCTTTTTTTATGTATCTGTAAAAGATGCTGGATAAAATATTGGTACAAACCGGGCATGGTGGCTCACGGTTGTAATCCCAGCACTTTGAGAGGCTGAGGTGACAGGATTGCCTGAGCTCACGGGCTTGAGACCAGCCTGGGCAACTGGGCGAGACCTCATCTCTACAATACATGAATGAGTAAATAAATAAATTAGCTGGTGTGGTGGTGCACGCCTGTAGCTCCAGCTACTTGGAAGGCTGAGGTGGAAGCATCACCTGAGCCTAGCAGGTTGAGGCTGCAGTGGCTGTGAGCGTGCCACTGCACTCCAGCCTGAGTGACAGAGTGAGTCTCTGACCTCCCCTCAAAAAAACTGGTACATGGGTCTTTTTTTTTTTTATTTGAGTTGGAGTCTCACTCTGTCATAGGAGTGCAGTAGCATGCTCCTGGCCACCGCAGCCTCCATCTGCTGGATCTGGCGATCCTTCTGCCTCAGCCTTCCAAGTAGCTGGAAATGCAGGCGTGCACTACCATGCCTGGCTAATTTTTGATTTATTGTAGCAACAAGGTCTTGCCACGTTGCCTGGGTGGGTCTCAAACGCGCGGGCTCAGGCAATCCACTTGCCTCCGCCTCCCAAAGTGCTGGGATTACAGGCTGAGCCACCGAACCTGGCCAGTACATAGGGTCTTAAGTGCTGTTGGATCCCACGAGTATTGCCAAGGTTGCACAGCCTTCTCTCTAGGAAACTAACCTAGTCTTTCCTGTAGATGAGGGCATTCGTTGTATTCGATCTCCTTTACCCAACTCCTCCTCCGGTCCCCATCCCCAGTCTCACAACATAATCTGGGCTCTTGCTGAAGATTTAGATCAATTTATCTTCCAACACACAAGATGGAGAATTGGGCAGAGTATTTCCCAAACAGTATCTCTAATGACTGTGTTCTATTCTAAGTTGCAAATGCTTTTTTCATTGAATGTGTGTGGATGGGTGATTGTTTACAGAAAGTATCTGGGTATACAAATTGTACATAATCCCACTATTTGCACTTGTGGAACTTAAGTAAAAGGGATTAATAAAAATAAGTTGGCCGGGCATGGTGGCTCAAGCCTGTAATCCCAGCACTTTGGGAGGCCGAGGTGAGAGGATTGCCTGAGTCCAAGGGTTTGAGACCAGCCTGGGAAACTTGGTGAGACCTCGTCTTTACAATAAATCAAAACATTAACCAGGTGTGATGGACCATGCCTGTGGTTCCAGCCACGTGGAAGGCTGAGACGGAAGGATCTCCTGAGCCTACCAGGTTGAAGCTGCACTCCCTCCTGGGCAACAGAGTGAGACTCCGACTCAAAATAAAATAAAATAAAATGATAAAAATAAGTTGTGTATCTCAGTTTCTGGGAAGTATTAAAAAAGCTATGTGGTAATAAAATAAGTGATAATTTATAATTATTATTTGGACATCTGTTGTTTCAACAATTTGGTGTATTAAGAGTAATCAAGGTACTCTCAGAGTCAAAGCAATGATTTTGTAAAATGCTTAATTTATCCTCTAATATTGAGAAATGTACATGAACTTTTTTTGAGAGTTAGAGCCTCTGGGAATATTGAATTTTATTAAACCATAAAATTATTATTTGTAAATCATGTGAAATTGGAGATGAAAATGAGCTATCACACCATCTCTAAAAGAACTTTAGATGCTCTACTCCTTTATGAAATAACTTGTATATTTAACCACTGAATACTTTACATTGGCATTTTACGTTTGCTTTTGTTAACCTAAAATTTTTTTGGCCAGTTGTGGTGGCTCATGTGTGTAGTTCCAGCTATTCAGGAGGCTGTGGTGGGAGGATCATCTGAGCCCAGAAGGTGGAGACTGCTGTGAGCCATGGTCGCGCCACTCCAATCCTGTCTGGGCAACAGAGTGAGACTCTGACTCAAAAAAAAAAAAAAAAAAGTCTTTGGACACCTACTGGATGCAGAACTCTGCATTAGGCATTTTAATAGAGAAGCCTAAAATTAGATTCCCCAAGTTCCAGCGGTGCACTGGTACCCATTGGCAACCGCCTCCAGGCGGGATGGGGGGAAGCCCAAATCTGTAGCGTTTGTTGATTTCCAACGTGTTAATAATACTCCCACGATGGTTGACTTCAAGCTACCAATGTGATGTCTCTGAACATGGGGTTGAATGGAAACATCACAATCGGCTTCAACTAGCTGTGAGCTGTTCCAGCACATGACTGTGGCAGTTTCTGACCTCAAGGACCTTATAGTCTTCTTAGGTAGCTGCAAGACACACACATCAGTTAAAGTAGTGTGCCGAGCAGTTTATCTTCAGATGTAAATTAGGAGACAGTAAAATAAGCACATACGTGTTGAAGGGTGCAGAACAGAGGTAGTAACAGAACCAGTTTGGGTGTGCATTTGGAGCCTATTTTCAAGCCCCTGAAAGAATATCTTTTGTTATTTTACACACAAAAAATAGGGTAAACAAAACCTAGAGGAAGATAGAAGCTTTTCCCTTAGGAGAAACGAGGAAATGACCTTGCCTTAAGTAGAGGGCTCATTTGGGGAGAGGCGAGAATTAAGATTTGTGGGTAAAAGAAATAGCAGTTGGTCATAAATATCAGGAAATCTTCATGGTTAAAAAGAATATTTGAAAATTGTTAGTAATTGCTGGGGAGATTAGAGACAGAAATACTAGGAACATATGGTATTTTGTACTCAGAGTGGTGAGTAGCGCAACAGTGGAAATGTGAAGGGAGTGCCAAATTGGATTTGTCAGATGATGGGGAACAAAGAGTGGGAAATAAAAAGGCAAAAAAGGTAACACAGCAGATAGTAATAAGAAGACTGGGGAGGCCGGGCGCCGTGGCTCAAGCCTGTAATCCCAGCACTTTGGGAGGCCGAGGTGTGAGGATTGCCTGAGCCCAGGGGTTCAAGACCATCCTAGGCAACTTGGTGAGACCTTGTCTCTACAATAAATCAAAAAAAATAAATTAGCCGAGTGTAGTGACACACGCCTGTAGTTCCAGCTACATGGAAGGCTGAGACACAAGGATCGCCTGAGCCCAGCAGGTCATGGCTGTAGTGGCCATGAGCTGCCACTGTACTCCAGCCTGGCCGACAGGGTGAGACTCCAACTCAAAAAAATAAAAGAAAACTGGGGAAGGTGTCTGTTTCAGCAATCAGGTGATCCGTTCCTTTTTATTCTGTTTCAGGGATAATATTTATGAGATAAAAGGCCTAGAAAAAGGTTGACGTATATAATAGAGGTATTAAGTCATCTCCTTAACTGAAATGATGTAATTTAATGAACTCTCGGGGAATCTTTAAAACTAACCCAGGGCCCAGAGTGGTGCCTATAATCCTAGCACCCTGAAAGGCCAACGTGGGAGGATTGCTTGAGCCCAGGAGATTGAAACCTACCTGGGCAACATAGCAAGACCTCGTCTCCATAAAAAATGTTAAAAAGAACCAGACATGGTGGTGTGCACATGTAGTCCCAGCTCCTCAGGAGGCTGAGGCAGGAAGATCACCTGAGCCCAGAAGGTTGAAGCTATGGTGGGCTGTGAGCATACTACTGCACTCCAGCCTGGGTAACAGAGTGAGACTCCTACTCAAAAAAAAAAAACAAAACTTGAACCCCTTTAAGGATATTCCAGAATTCAAGTTCAGTCATGTCTCTCTTGAAACAAACTCAATTTTAGAGGATGTAATTTAGAACTGCTATGTAATGTACAATTTCTTCCTTAACAGTATTTCACTTGGTTTATAATCTTCAATCATAGGTTATGGCACACAGCCTGTTTGGGAAAAGAAAATGAAATAATGGTATTTGGTGGGAGCAAAGATGATTTACTTTCCTTGGATACAGTAAGAAAATCTTATGTCTATATATTTTCTCTAAATAATTGTGTTATTCAAACTAAATGGCTATTCAACAAAGATGTTGATATTCCGATATTGCAAAAATATGGAAGAGCATGATCAGAGTACTGTGGTATGATTAATATTCAGAATATTCATAAATTATAAAGCATTTTAGGATATTTGGGACTTTCAAATCAAAACAGATCTGTTAATTTTATTAGCCAAATTATTAAGAAGAGCTTTTGAAGTATGACTCTTCTTTTTTCTCTTATATAGGTGTCTATATTGTGTTGAACTAAAATATTTATATGTAATATTTGATAGATTAAAATAATATGTATAATGTCGATTCTAAGCAAACTAAATATCCATGAAATTTGCTAGCCAATCCTGCCAGAATATCACCAATACTGTTGAAGCTACCCTGTTTAGACTTGAGTCTTACCTGCTAGCTTTTCCCCTCAAGAGAAAACCACTTTGTTGAAATGTTTAAAGTGTATTTTCTTATTATTTTATGTGTCTTTTGCCAATGCTTTGCCCAACTGTTTTACATTTGAGTCTAAAGCATTTCAGTTTTAAAATCTGGTAAAATTAAGGTCAAAGGAAGAAATGAATAGCATTTGGAGAGTATTGTTCTTTCACTTCTAGCACCCTGGAAAATTCAGAGCAGGGTGGCCATTCATACATTGTGATAGGACAGGAGTTCAGGAACAATTGCTCTGATGCACATAGGACACTCAAGATTAGCAAAACTCTGAGCCATCAAAGATGGGGTACAATGAGCTGGAACCATACCTAGAGGGAAACAGCTCTCTTTCATCTCTTCAGGAACAGTTATCATGAGAACTGCTCCTATGGAGTGGTCAGCCCTGAAATAGGGTGGCTTCTCTCCAGGGAATTTGCTTTCTTTTGTAATTCTGAGGCCTCTAACTTAAATGTTTTGTATATGAAAGTTTTAGGTCAGTTGTAATCCCAGCTCTTTGCTGAGACAGGAGGATCACTTGAGGCCAGGAGTTCGATACCAGCCTGGGCAACATAAGTGAGACCAGGTCTCTGAAAAAAAAAAACAACAGTTTTAGAGCTTCCTTTGGCTTATAATTCAGAGCTTCACTAAAAGATTAAAGCTACAACTTTGCATTTATTTAAAAAGCAAATTTTGTTTTGTTCTCTGCCTGGCACTAGAAATCTTCATTTAGGGTACAAGGTTGATCATTAAAATAGGAATTCTGATTAAAATCAAGATCATAAATTAGGAAATTCTGAAGACCTATTTGAAAGGATTAGAGATATTTTCTGTGACTCTTCTACCATATTAACTTTAAATGAGAGACTCATTATTCAAGAAATCTTCCAGATCTTGATTTTCTTTTCTTTACTTTTCTTTCTTTCTTTTTTTTTTTTTGAGTTGGAATCTCTCACTCTGTCACCTAGGCTGGAGTGCAGTGGCATGCTCACAGCCACCACAGCCTCGACCTGCTGGTCTCAGGTGATCCTTCTGCCTCAACTTTCCATGTACCTGGAACCACAGGCACATGGCACCACACCCGGTTAATTTTTTGATTTATTGTAGAGATGAGGTCTTGCCAAGTTGCCCAGGCTGGTCTCAAACCTGTGGCTCAGGCAGTCCTCTCACCTCAGCCTCCCAAAGTGCTGGGATTATAGGTGTGAGCCACTGTGCCAGGCTGCAGATCTTGATTTTCAGATTAAGAATTCTTGGGGAATCCTGGAACCACTTGGAAAAGGAAAACAGGATAAAGAGGATATTTTAAAATAAGAGTTCTTTGAAATAAAAAATTTAGCTTGGAAAAACAAGATGTTTGAAAACCACTACTGTTACCATTTTAATTCACTTCTCAGAGAAGAACTTATTTCTGATATTTAAATTTGCAATTATGTAGGCTATTGGTGAGGTAAAAATTTGGTCACTGAAAGTTGGTAACCATGTACCCAAAGTTTGTGGATGGCAGGTATATACATGAGTGTGTGCATTTATGTTGGGTGTCAATAGCTAGAAGTATTTATTGCTGGTTTATACAATCACTTTTATATTTATAAAAACATCCTGTTAGTAATGCATGGTTATTTGCTGGAAGCCTGAGAATGCCTTTTCCTGTTGTCTAGGGCCACTGTAATGATTTACTGATCTTTCAGACACAGCCTCACTCACTACTCAGGTAAGTAAATTTATGATTTTACACATATGTGCTATGGATGAGAATTTGTTCCTCTTTTTGATGAGTTATAATACTTTTTAGGTAGTTTACAACTTGAATTCAAGAAAGCATTTACATCTTCCTAAGAGTATAATCAAATTATACTGGTGAACCATACACCAATATGAGTTTTAAAAGTTAAAATATACGGTACAGTCACATTTTTGTTTTGTTTGTAAAATTTCATTTAGTTTGTATGGTAATATTTATATGGTAATATTTCCTTAATTCTAAGCCTGACATTTTTTCACATTTTAACCTTTTGGAAATCAGAATGTGTTTAATAATAATACATATAATGTATATGTTATATACTATCATCCCTTGGTATCTGTAGGGATTGGTTCCAGGACCCCCTCCCTCAGATACCAAAATCCCTGGATGCTCAGAATCTATGAATGGCATAGTATTTACATATAACCTACATATGTCCTCCCATATAATTTATTTATTTATTTTGAGTTGGAGTCTCACTCCGCCGCCCAGGCTGGAGCCATGGCACGCTCATGGCCATCACAGCATCAACCTGCTGGGCACCCGCGAACCTTCCACCTCAGCCTTCCAAGTAGCTGGAACTACAGGCGTGCGCTACCACGCTCGGCTCATTTTTGATTTATTGTAGCGACGCAGTCTTGCCAAGTTGCCCGGGCTGGTCTCAAACCCGCGGGCTCAGGCAGTCCACTCGCCTTGCCTCCCAAAGTGCTGGGATTACTGGCTGAGCCCCTGAGCCCAGTGCCTCCCATATACTTGAAATCATTTCTAGATTACTCATAGTACCTAATACAATATAAATGCTATGTAAATAGTTGTTATACTGTATTGTATAGGGAATAGCCATAAGAAAAATAGTCTGTACATGCTCAGTACAGACGCATCCATCGCAGGCCTAACTACATTTCCAGTTCACAGTTGGTTGACCCTGTGGAGGAGGAGCTCCCAGTTGGAGGACTGACTATATATGCACACACACATTTAACACAGAAGACTCTTTTTTTTAACCCCAAAGCAGTTTTTGAATTGATGTGTGACTTATAGTGTCTTAACTCATACACTCTTGCTCTAAAAGGAGTCTATGCAAAATTTAGTGGAGGGATTATGGAAGAGGCCCCTACTTCTGCCTGTGAGAGTTGGAAGGAAGGATATGAAAGATGAGGAAATTGCTTAGTGAACAAACGTGGGATTTTTATAAGTGGGGGAATAACGGGGGAAGGAAGCGGGAGGGAGGGAGAGCAGGAGAGGACATGTGGTTCCGGGTATCTACTGTAACTTCCTGATGTTCTTCTACCACTCGAACCTCTTGAAAACCAATGGACTAGCTCAGACTGGCCCTTTCTGAAGTCTTTCTTAACTGCTTCTTCTCCTAACATGGTAGTTCCCAAGCTTGTCTACACATTAGAATCTCATAGGAACCTTCAAAAAGTGTTAATGCCAGCCGGGCTTAGTGGCTCAGCCTGTAATCCCGCGCCTTTGGGAGGCTGAGGTGAGGGGATTGCCTGAGTCCGCGGGTTCGAGACCCGCCTGGACAGCAAGATCTCATCTCTACAATAAATCGAAAAATCAGCCGGGTGTGGTAGTGCGCGCCTGTAGTTCCGGCTACTGGGAAGGCTGAGGAGGAAGGATCGCCGGAGCCCAGCAGGTCGAGGCTGCGGTGGCCGGGAGCGGCCACTGCACCCCAGTCTGGGCGACAGAGTGAGACTCCAACTCAAAAAAAAAAAGTGTTGATGCCTGAGTTCTGCTCCCACAGACTGTAATTAATCCAGGGTATGGTTTGGACTTTGGATTGCAAGTTCCTCATATGCAGGGATCAAGAAATATTTGAGGCCAGGCATGGTTGCTCATGCCTGTAATCCCAGCATTTGGGAGGTCAAGGCGGGAGGATTGTTTGAGAGGCCAGAAGATCCAGACCAGCCTGGATCTCTACAAAAAACAAGCAAACAAACAAAAAAACACTTTATATAAGCCAATCGTGGTAGTATGCCCCTGTAGCCACAGCTACTTGGGAGGCTGAGATGGGAGGATCACTTGAGCCCAAGAGGTTGAGGCTGCAGTGAGCTATGATAATGCCACACACTCCAGCCTGGGCAACAGAGCCAGACCCTATCTGTAAAAAAATAATAATAATAAATTTTGAAAAGGGAATTGTATTTGGAATGATACTGCCCTCTAGTGAATGGCAGGCCCCTAAGAGTAGAAACTCAAGTTGTCTCTTGCTAGTGCTTTGTGTATTCCATTCCTCTCTTCCAACCTGCTCCTTCTGGGTCGACTCAGGTCAATGCAGTCATTTATGAAGGAAATATGGGCGGTGTAAAGGTGGGTAGCAGATGCTTCCTCATGAAGTGATGGAGCAAAAGACCATTCTCAGAAAAGGGTCTGTGTTGACTGCGCTAACTGGAGGAATACATAAAAAGGGAGCTGCATCGATTAGTCTAGTTTGAAATTAAGCCTGAATCTTCTTTACTTGAAGAATATTCTGCATGATGAGTTGTATTTTCTCTTTTTTTTTTTGAGTTGGAGTCGCACTCTGTAGCTTAGGCTGGATTGCAGTGACATGCTCACGGCCACCCCAGCATGGACCCACTGGCCTCTGGGGATCCTTCCATCTCAGCCTTCCAAGTAGCCAGAAATACAGGCATGCACTACCACGCCCCGCTAATTTTTTATTTTATTGAAGAGACGAGGTCTGCCAAGTTGCCCGGGCTGGTCTGGAACCCATGGGTTCAGGCAGTCCACTTGCCTCAGCCTCCCAAAGTGCTGGGAATACAGGCTGAGCCACCGAGCCCAGCGGTATCTTGTTTCTGTTGCATTTTGGACAGATACAGTCTCTAGCTATACACATATATGCTTATTGTGGTGCTTTGGGAAAAAAAATGAATAGGATTCCAAACAATACAAAGGAATGCACTGTCATGTAAATTTTTTGTAGTGATTTTTACTTTTAACAATACTTAACTGGGCAACCCCTTCGGGTCCCCTCCCACTGTGGGAGCTTTTCTGTCCTCTCAATAAAGCCTGCTTTCTCAAAAAAAAGAATACTTAACTATAAATATTTCATATTAGTTCAAAACTAATACTGTTATGTTTTATTTACAGGTCATGCCTCGACTGTATTGGTAAAAATGCTATCATTTTAGAAAGTCAGATATCTTTATTACCTCCTAAGCTTCTGCAACAAGTACTCAAAAAAATAACATTTTGGACTGCAGCTAATCACCGAGAAGAACAAAGAGTCCAAAAAGAAGAAACAGAAAATAAATATCAGTGGATCAGTAGCAATTAAATTGTTTTGATCAGACTATATATTTACACTCCTAAATTGCAGGCTTTACTTAAGGGATAAAAATTGAAACACAAATGCTGTTAAAGTGATCATATGCCATGGGATATATGGAAATAAGATGTTAATGCAGATTGTATTTGTAAATAAACTTCCTTCTGAGCTGGCGAACAGATATTCTTTCTGAAAGTACAATTATAACAGATTTTAACTCAGTGTGTACTCTTTATTGGAAAGATTATGAAAACTTGAGAATAAGAAATTATCCCCAGAACTTCAGATATCCTCCAACATGATTTTATAGGTGTGTGTGTGTGTGTGTGTGTGTATAACTTATTAGTGTTATGTATAAGTTATATATATATATACACACACACACATCTATAAAATCATGTTGGAGGATTTCTGTATATACAGCATATATATATACACATAACATTATATATAAGTTATATACACATACATATATAAAATTCAGAAAGAATAAATTTTCTCAAGTTGTTTAAACATTACCTAAGTTTCTCCCTAAGTAAGTTATTAAATAACTTCTCCTTAAATAACTAATACAAGTGGCCAAAAATTACAAAATAGGCAAACACCAGTATGGTATTAAATAATTAACTTCTATTCTTTTAGCACTTACCTAGTAAAGAATTCTTTGGCATCGTATTTTTTTCTTCCTCTTTATTTGAGTAGGGGAATAAATGTCTTCAACTGTCCCTTCATTCCCCCTAAGTTATTAGTTTTTCCAGTTTCATGTCTTAAAGAATATAAAGTGGAGATTTATTTATCATACAGACTTTGAAGTATTGAGAAGCAGTATATTTATTAGCTTTTGAGACACATTAGAATACATTTTGCCTTGGAAGAGTGCTTCTGAAGTCCTCCATGTGTCATGAATTGGGGTGGTAATCTAGTCATTTGACTTGTTACAACACCCTTCAGGCTGACCCAAACATTCTACGGAGTTGATGCTCAAGACACTAAGAAGTTGAAAATTGAATACACTCCCTTTTGTTTTCAGCATTACATCTATACAGGAATATCTCTATTTTTCTCAAACTGATACTTTTGTCATAACTAAGAAATTTTTCTTCATAAATTTTTCTTCAATCATGTTCTTCTATTGAGTTACTCATTACAATTAATTACTTTAAAGCTTGGTATATAAAATCATTCTCCACAGTACCACCATGCAAGCTATCTCTGAAGTTTAAGATGTTAGAAAAAATAGATTTCTATATTTAAATATGTATAATTTGTAATGAAAATTATAGTAGTTTGTAGTATTTCATTAAATTTTAGAGATATATTTCATATATGTACTATATTTTGGATGTGTAAAGCTTCTATTTATGTATTGAAATATTTTTTTACATTTTATTTATTGTAAAAGTATATCGAATTACTGTTTTCATTTTTGTCAGTGTGAACCAGTTATTAGAGTTGATTGTGCAAAAAATATTTCAGTGTGTTTTCATTTTTTTCTTACCATTTTTAGGCCGAACCACATTTAGAACATGAATCTTACACATAATATACATCTTAGAAGTAACTGTCTTATTGCTATGAGCTTCAGTATCAGCCTTTTAAATATAAATCAGCAGTGATTTATATTTAAGGCAGAAATATGCCAAAATCTAGTTAGTAATAGATGATATTGAGTGGAAAGAATGGCTCCTAGATTACGTGAATGCCTTCTCCAGCCTCTTGGGAAAACACTCATTTTTAAGTTGTTTACTTGGAACATTAAGAGTTGGAACAGCCCCCTCAGAATTCACAGTCTTATTTTGGCTTTGAAAATGAAAATTTTTATATTATCTATAGCAACGAACACTGGTGCTGTTCTTATTTGACTTCACACACTGTGCTGCTTCAGTAGGTTATGTGTTCTGAAGTAGGTGCATAGGAGTGACGGGGAATTCTGATCTTTACTCTCAATTTCAAAAATTTGGCTTAAACCAGGGCTTCCCTGCTGTTAGGAGATACAGAAATTTTAGGAGCTGGCAGAGTCAGTTTTGCAGTTCCATAGGCTAAGCAGTATTCATGCCCCACTTCTCGCCAGCTAATGGTTTACCGTCAACTTTTGTGCTGGTGACCTCTTCAGGGAATGGAGCCCAACACAAGAACAGCCTCATAGCTTTACCTCTGAACTCTTCCTTGCCGGCTCTGTGTTTGGAAGGTGATTCTAGAAGCATTGATGGTTTGTCCAGTTAGTTCACAAAATGGGTGTGCAGTCTGATTCTCAAGGAAAAAAGAATATCAGGGTATTCTTACAGTTGTCAAGAAGGTTTCTTTTAAGGTATTATATGGTTTTTTGTTTGCTTTTTTGAGGGTCTCGCTGTGTTACCGAGGCTGGAGTGCACTGGCCCAGTCATGGCTCACTGCATCCTCAACCTCCTGGACTCAGGCGATCCTTCTGAGCACCTGAGGGACTGCAGCTGCACACCACCACACCTAGCTGATTCTTAAATTTTTTTGCAGAGATGAGGTCTCACTATGTTGCAGCGGCCTCAAGCAGTGTTCAGGCAGTCCTCCTGGCGTGGCTTCCCAAAGTGCTGGGATTACAGGTGTGAGCCCTCGCACCCGGCCTTAAAGTATTGTCCTTTTTAAGATGATAGAATAAGTAGCACATTGAAATTAATGTAATTTTTTCCAAGTAGTATCTTTGTACAAACACCTTTAAAAAGAATACTAGACTCTTGTATCTAGAAACTTAAAAATATCTTTTAGAACTTTGTACATGGTGTCAGCTAACACACACAGTCATACACGTTCACTGATGTGTTACTTTTATGTGCATATGAAAAATAACATCAAATAAATTCACCAAGACGGAATCATTTTCAGGGTAGTACATGCTGTTGACAAAATTTAGACTTCAGAATATTTGGAAGGAAAGGAAACAGTGTTAAGAAACAATCCCCACCCACCGTTTTCGGTCCCTTTTTTCCATTGTATTAATATAATTCTATAGAAATTTTTGGTTTGATGAAGTCTCATAGAGACCAGCACGTGGGCACAGCAAGAACATTTTCTCAAATCGCTCAAAGTCCATAGTTTACATTAGGGTTCATTCTTGGTGCTGTACCTTCTGTGGGTTATGATATGTAGTGACGACATGTCTCCTTGTAATATACAGTTTCACTGCCCAAAAAATCCTCTGTGCCCTGCCCGTTCATTCCCCCTTCCCCCACAACTCCTGGAAACCACCGACCTTTTTACTATTTACATCGTTCTGCCTTTTCCAGGATATCATATAGTTGCAGTCATAGTTGCACAGCATTTCAGAATGCCATAGAATGGAGCCCTTTCAGATCAGCTTCTTTACTTAGCAATGTGCATTGAATTTTCCTTCGTGTCTCTTCATAACTTTGGCAGCTCATTTCTCAGCGCTGAGTAACATCCCGTCGTCTGAGTATACCATGGTTGATCCATTCACCTACTGAAGGAAATCTTGGTTGCCTCCAAATTATGAATAAAGCTGCTGTAAACATGTGTGTGCAGGTTTTTATATGACCTAAGTGCTTAATTCATTTGGGTAAACACCAAAGAGCAAGACTGCTGGATCATATGGTAATAGTATATTTAGTTTTGTAAGAAATCACTAGACTCTCCTCCAAAGTGGCTGTAGGCCTACCAGAAATGAACGAGAGTTTCACATCTTTGTCAGAATTTAGTTGTTGTCAGTATTTTGAATTTTGGTCATTCTGCTTGATGTGCAGTGGCATTTCATTGTTTTAATTTGCAGTGCCCTAATGACATATGACGTTAAACATCTTTTCATATGCTGATTTAACATCTGTGGATCGGCCAGTCGTAGTGGCTCATGCCTATAATCCTAGCACTTTGGGAGACTGAGGGGAGAGAATTGCCTGAGCCCGTGGGTTCAAGACCAGCCTGGGCAAATTGGTGAGCCCTCGTCTCTACAATAAATAAAAAAATTCGCCAGGCATGGTGGTGCAAACCTGTAGTTCCAGCTACTTGGAAGACTGAGGCGGAAGGATCGCCTGAACCCAGCACATCAAGGCTGTGGTGGTTGTGAGCAGTGTGCCACTGCACTCCAGCCTGGGCCAGAGACTCTGACTAAAAAAAACAAAAAAAAAAACCTTCAGACCATTTGATCCAGAGGAATACGTTCCAAGTGTCCTACAAGGGGCCCACCCTTCAAAAGACAATTCCAGTTTTGGGGGTTCCCTTCTCGTAATTTCCATTTTCTTTTAAGAAGGCGAGCAAGTCATAAGCAGTGATTAAAAGCTTGGGAGTCTTGTTGTTTTGTTAAGACAATTGATGGATAGTAAATGAAAGCAGGCAGTATAAATATGTCTCAATATAGATATTCACGCAAAGTAGGACATGTGATGTACTCCAAGAATCTAAAAGACATTGACATTTTGGGGTTGCTATATACCATATAGGTCAAAATTAGATTTTTCTCAAATGAATGACAAATCTCAAAACAATTTTTTTTTTTAATGCAATTGCTGACTTGTATGCCAGCCATTACTAGAGATGGCTTTTAGTTTGAGAACCGCTTAGTCTCGGGATCCCTTTACATGCCTAAGAATTAGTGAGGGCCGGGCACAATGGCTCACATGTATAATCCCAGCACTTTGAGAGGCCGAGGTGAGAGGATTGAGCCCATGGATTTGAGACCAGCCTGGGCAACTTGGCGAGACTTCATCTCTACAATGGAAAGAAGAAAAAAAAAAGCTGGGCATGGTGGCGCAGGCCTGTAGTTCCAGCTACTTGTAAGGCTGAGGCGGAAGGATCACCTGAGCGCAGCAGATAGAGGCTGCGGTAGCCGGGAGCATGCCACTGCACACCAGCCTGGGTGACAGAGTGAGACTCCAACTCAAAGAAAAAGAAAAGAATTAGTTCCTTCAAGAGCTTTTTTTGTTTCCTGAGTGGAGGAGTCTCACTCTGTTGCCCAGGCTGGAGAGCAGTGGCACAATCACAGCTCACTGCAGCTTCGACCTCCTGGGTTCAAGATATCCTCCCACCTTAGTCTCCCAAGTCGCTGGGACTACAGGTGCAGGCCCGCATGTCTGGCTAATTTTTTTTTTTTTTTTGCAAAGACATCTCGCTATGTTGCCCAGGCTAGTCTCAAGCAATTTCTCCCACCTCAGCCTTCCAAAGTGCTGGGATTACAGACATGAGCTGCTATACTCAGCCAAGGGCTTTTGTTTATGTGATAGATTATTGATATCTGCCATATTGGAAACTAACACTAATTTTAATTTACTTTAATTTTATACTTTATTCATTGAAAATAACAAAACTATTCTGTTAACATAAATAACATTTTGAATGAAAAAACTTTATTTTCCAAATAAAAGAAAATTCAAAAAGAATGACATTGCTTTACATTTTTACAAGTCTGTTCACCAGGAACAGTGGCTCATGTCTATAATCCCAGTACTTTGGAAGACAGAGGGGATAGGATTGCCTGAGCCCAGGGGTTTGAGACCAGCCTGGGCAACTTGGTGAGACCTCATCTCTACAATAAATTTAAAAATTGGCAGGTGTGGTGGCTCACACCTACAATCCCAGCACTTTGGGAGGCCGAGGTGAGAGGATTGCCTGAGCCCATGGATTCGAGACTCGCCTGGGCAACTTGGCGAGACTTCATCTCTACAATAAATCAAAAAATTAGCCAGGCATGGTGACACATGCCACTTGGAAGGCTGAGGTGGAAGGATCACCTAAGCCCAGCAGGTCAAGGCTGCGGTGGTCCTGAGCATGCCCCTGCACTCTAGCCTGGGCAACAGTGAGACTCCAACTCAAAAAAACCAAAACCAAACAAAAAACCTGCTTAGTAAAAGCTAGATTCTCGTATTTGCTTCTGCATTTAATGTATTGCATATGTGATCTGACTGACTTATATGGAGAAAATGGCCCCAAGAGTTCCCTGAGAAGCCCCAGAAAAGGTGTCTCTGGGCACTCAAGCGGCCTGGGACCACACTTTCATACACAGTGAGAAACTCTGCTTCTGGTACAACTAATCAATGTGTTTCAGAGTATCTTTTGTTATTGTTCTCATAAGTAGGATAAAAGTATGGTTTGATACATGAATAGTAACTGACTAAACCAAAGTGGCCAATATAGTGTTTTATTAAATGGCATATATATGTGAAATACATACATATCTAACATACTTTTTTGTGAGTCAGAGTCTCACTCTATCGCCCAGGCTGGAGTGCAGTGGCACGCTTACAGCCACCACAGCCTTGACCTGCTGGGTTCAGGCAGTCCTTCCACTTCAGCCTTCCAAGTAGCTGGAACCACAGGTGCACAAGACCATGCCCAGCTATTTTTTTAAATTATAAATTATAGAGAGGAGGTCTCCCCACATGGCCCAGGCAATCCTCTTGCCTCTGCCTCCCAAAGTGATTGGGATTACAGGCATGAGCCACCGTGCCTGGCCTATTTAATATACTTTTGACTCAAGGCAAATCTGTATT